GAGAGAGAGAGAGAGAGAGAGAGAGAGAGAGAGAGAGAGAGAGAGAGAGAGAGACGACCATTTTCTCCATAAGATACCAACTCAAAATGTTCATTTCTCTGTCAGTTATTTCATACTTACACTTAGCACTTCAATCCAAAGATACAAATTCAAACTACTATTCATTTATCTGCTAGCTAACTTACAGGTAAACGTAGTACAATCTAAAACAGCCCGTTCAAACTACCGTTCAACATGACATGACGACTTTCATACACACGATGTTGTTGCGAGTTACTGCTGTTACTTGAACCATAATTAATGATAATTTCTCTACCAGTCCATCAGATTCTGTACTTACGTGTATAATGATAGCAATAGTTAGTCTATCGTGAATACTGAGGATGACCTTTATTATCTACGGAGGAAGATAGACTAAAGGGCTTGGTAGTTAATGTGGTAATAAAGAGAGTAAAGTAGAGGAAATGATAGCAAGCAATGTGCAATGTTCACAAATGCCACAGTTCGTCGCAGATAGCAGCGCCTGTCCCTTTCCTAAATTAGTGGTGTGAGTCAGGGCTGGGCAATGAGTCGCTTTAGCAAAATCCGGATAGTATGTTAGTGCACCTCTTCAGCAAATAATAGGCTTTGAACCGCTTCGACAAATGGGTAAGAACCACTTCGACAAACGGGTTAGCATCACTTCAACAAATTATGGGTGCACGCACTTCGACAAACGGGTCAAGAAAGAAGGTTAAAAGTCTGAATTCGGAACATGTTTCATTGAGAATTATCCGGTTATCCTTGTAGATTATCCGGATTTTGCCCACCTCTAGTGTGAGTGATTATCTGCCTAAACATTAGAGCTGGCGAAGAGTCGATTCCGGAACCGATTCCCACGATTAATACAACGGAAGTAAAGCTCCGTCTCCTTTTTACGTAAACCAACGGTAACCAGTTACTTTTATCATAAAAATCTTTTCTTTTTTTTTAAGAATATATTTTTTGAAAAATAGAAGTTGATGCTTCACAGTATTCCAAAATCAAGGTTATCCGACATCCTGAAGATGTTCGGAGCCAACCAGGTAACCACTGGAAGAAATCACGTCATTAGAAAGTAAGTAATTGGGTTCGGAGTCGATTCCTACGATTCTTAGCTTTCAATAGTCGGGAACCTAGCCGCCCAGCACTACTAAACATATGGCAAGTTGGATAAACTTCCTTTATAGCTGGCTTCGCTTGTGACCCACAAGCGCTATTCTTACGTTTTACACGTTCTAAAAATGCCCGTTCAAACTTCTGTTCAATATTATATAAAATGGCGGTTTTTATATTTTCGTTGCAAGTTACCTAGACTGTTTGGAATCACTCTCTATCTCACTACAAACAGCATTAAAGTTGTTTACGACGTTGAATAGTAGTTTGAATTGACATTTTTGGAATCGTGATAAATTCAAAAACATTAACTGGCAGGGCAATGGAAATATCTGACTATACAGGGTGATAACATTCTGCAAAATGGTGTGTACCTTTCATTGTGAACTGTAATCTCTGTAGAGATCACCCGTAATGTTTTTAAAATGTAAATGTCCAGTCCAGGCACGGTCAAACCAGAATGCTTTCCACTATCAGGAGCAGAGAGTCATTGATTAAATAAGCTTGTGAGGCATCGTAGCGAAATCAGACGCTCGTCGAAATAATAAAATCGGAGAAATTGCCATTTAATTTTTTTCACACCTCAGGCAATTGTTTTTAATTTTTTTTTTCTTTTTTCCTTTTTTTTGCTCAACACTTTTAATTCTCATTTCAAAAAGAATTTCTGTGTAGATTTTACTAAAAAAAACGTTTATCAAAGGTTCAAAAATGTAAGTTTGCAGTTTCCAAAGACGCTCAAACTTTGGGAGTCACCAAACGTTGACGGCCATTCTCTCGCTAATTATACCTCTGTAACCAGGCGACCTCCATCTTCTTCAGTCGATGATAATGAAAATGACTAAGACTATCTCGCAGGGAGGAATTTCCCTGGTCGTTTACAATGGTTAGATGCACTCACGCATACACACAGGACATTAGCAAATAACATGTTTTACGAGCTGAAGCTACCCACTCCGTAAAACTCTCTCTCTCTCTCTCTCTCTCTCTCTCTCTCTCTCTCTCTCTCTCTCTCTCTCTCTTTCTCTCTCTCTCTCTCTCTCTTTCTCTCTCTCTCTCTGTCACTCTCTCTCTCTCTCTCTCTCTATATATATATATATATATATATATATATATATATATATTTATATATTCATCTATCTCTCTCTCCCTCTCTCTCTCTCTCTCTCTCTCTCATACACACACTCTCTCTCATACTCTCTCTCTCTCTCTCTCTCTCTCTCTCTCTCCCTCTCTCTCTCTCTCTCTCTCTTTCTCTCTTTCTCTCTCTCTGCTTCATTTGTAGCACTGTGCGTTCAGTAACCTCACTGCAGTTGGTACGAATGAATTTCTATATCTGTCTGTTCTTCCTTTTTAAAAAAAATAGAATGTATATTGTTTACTGCGGGCCGATGACTGACATTCCCATATCAGTGGTTGCCTAAGGTCATTTAGCATTATTTCCACCTTTTTTAGAACATATGTCTAGTGCAGATATTCAAAGTTATTTAGGTCTCTACCAATTGTTCCTGATGCTTTTTGATCAACTTGTTTATATTTATGATGTGCTGTCTTCCCAAGTTGTCTTAAAAAGAAGGATTTCTGAAACAGCAATATCATGATTATCTTTAAACAAATTTTAACAATTTTTATTCTCGCACACAAAAAAATATTTCAACCATGGTGCAACCATAGGGACGTTACATTTGCCAAAAGGAAAAAAATCAATCAATTTGTTAGAAAAATTTCACATTAAAATGTTTCAACCAATATTGACAGAAACGCAAAACTGTGCAACTTCTTAAAAATCAACCATATAGTTCTATTTCAAATAGTCACTTTGCGCATTGATGAATAAATTAAAACAGAATTGATGTTGCTAATTAAACGTGAGGAAGGTGTTCGCTACTTAAATCTCCAGGCATAGACCATTTCTTTCCATACAAGCTCCAATACTCCACTAGAACTTTTGAATAACCTCGAGGCATGTTTTTGGGGTCGATTCTTTGGACGCCCTGTTCAACACAAAGTTATAGCTGTCAGATTGTTTGTGGGTTTTTTCCCATAACTTTGTCTGTCAAAAACCTCCAAAGATAATAATTGAAGGGGATCAAGTAGGGGGGAAAGTGGAAACAATTCATTTGTAAATTCTCGGCTCATAAGGCGTTCCCCAAACCTTTCTTGCAACCATTTTATGTAGAGTACAAAACAGCTTTTAAAAAATGTTGTTAATCGGACGATGACCCTTACATGAACTGGCTGTTCTACCTTTATTTTATTTCTGTAAACGAGATTTGTCATGGGAGTAATACAACCTCCCCCC